ATTTTTTTTCCCCCGGGGCCCCCCCCCCCCCCCCCCCCCCCTTCAAGACTGGTCGTAAGAAATTATGACAACATCAATATGATGGTAGAACCGCGTGGTGTCACTTGCCATGATGGTATTGTCTCGTTGCTGGCTGACTGACTTTGAGCTTCTCGCCGCTCCTTTCTTTTTGCGTTCCGCTATGGGTGTCCTGTGGGTGTTCTCTTGCCGACAAGATGCACACGCGCCCGCAAAAGGGTCCGGCGAACAACAAGAAACAGCCGTCGAGAGAAACAGATAGAACCATCATGATACTAGAGGACAATGTGCCACTCCAATGCCCAACCGGCTTCTAGTGTGGCTAGCATAAAGGACCTCCAAAGTCCAACACGCACGGAGCTGCAAGCCGCGTGGCCCCACCAGACCAGTCAAGACACGACGCCAGCGAAGCAAGCCCTTGCCGTCCAACACACACTCACTCACCCGCGGTCGGAGCAAAAAAAAAAAAAAAACTGGCAACTATGCACCCCTTTTCTGTCGTCATGGTGATCGTCTCTCCCTCTCTCTCTGTGTTTCTCTCTATATCGTTACACGTACAAGCTGACTGCAGTGCTCTTTCTTTTAACTGTATTACAGGGTGAAAAATTGTTGATGAGCTTTAACATCCTCCCCACCTCCTTCCTCCCCATCCTCCTGTTCGTACCACGTTCAGCGTGAAAAAAAACAGCAATGCGATGTCCACCACTCATGTCAACAGCACTCCCGAGAACCCTCACGACACACACCACTATGAATTAGCGTACAGCTATTCTAGAGCGGAGACCGCAAAGGAACAAACACCGTTCTCTTCCCGCTCATCCTCGCTACTAAGTGTCAACCAACCAGTCGCCCGGCGCAAAAAAGACGTGATGACGACAACAAAAAAAAACAAAAGACAGAAGAAGAAGAAGAAGAGATGGATGTTACAAGAAGAAAAAAAAAAAACGACAGACCCCAACTCTAAACGTGCCACCACAATCTATCGTGCCCCCCATCACCCTGGGTGACACGGAAAAGACGCACCCGCACACTTACAGAGGAGGCCATACCACGGCGACAAAAACAAAAACAAGCAAGTGGGTGTGCTGCGTAGACCAAGATACTGACAAACACGGAAGAAGAAGAAGAAATATCACGGCTCGGCTGCTGCAGTCAGACACCGCATCAACAACAACGTCGCAAAACCCCCATCATGAGCTGCGATCCGCCGCCTGGCTGGCTGGCTGCTTTCGGGGTTCATCGACCTCCGGCCTCTCGTCATTTTGACTCTTTTGCGGACGAGATGGATCGATCGGTGCTTGGCGACAGCACCCCGCACAGTAGGAGCGAGCGTTCGTCCTCGCCGCGATACTTCCTACGAAACCAACCCCGCCGTGGGCAGGCAGGCAGGCAGGCAGGCAGGCAGTCGCGGGGTGGGTGGTGGGCGTGCGCCCCCTCTCGGCTAACATAGGCCCGTCAAACACACGGAGGTGGAGATGGAACCAAGAGCATGTCGTCCCTGACGGAGCAATAACAAACACCGAGGCTCCCCTCCCCTCCCCTCCCCCGGCCACCAACAGAACTCGCCCCTCCCGCCTCCAACACCCCGACTGGAATTGGGCGTAGTCGTCGTCGTCATCGTGAACATGCATGCAAGACACCCAACCGGCACGGACGGCAAGACACAGAGAAAGAGACCTGATGGTGAAGATAAATAAGCCCACAAAAAAGAAATTGACACCACGCCCTCCCCCCCTCCCTCCCCCCCCAATGTTTTTACCCTCTCCCAGCGGAGAACAGCTAAAAAAAAAAAAGGTTTAGAAGAATGAAAAAAAAAAACGACGTCAAACATCCATCCAGCAGTCTGAGACTCATTTTCTCGATATGCCTGAAGGTGAAATCAGTTCACTATCGCATGAGCCGATCTTGTGAAAGTGCCTGAATCCCTTGAGCTACACAACCAACGCTTGCAACGAACCCACTTTTCTAGCAACAGAGCCCCGCAGGGCCTCTCCCGGTTTCTCACGTTTCCTTAATCAAGTCTTCCACGGTTTTTTACGCCAAGGAGCTCTGCATTCATTCGCAACGGGTCAAGTGCCGAAGGACAAGGGCCGAGGGGGTCCCGCAGCGGCTCTCCCGACTAACCCCCCCCCCCCACCATCGCCCGTCTGCTAATAAATGTTGACCTAAAAACTCTTCAACAATTCCGGTCCCTTGGCAAACACCGTAACAAGTGTCGTAGATTTTCCACATCGTAACGCAACACTCAACAACACTTCAGAGCAGATTTCACATAAAAAACACACCAAAAACAAAACACACCAGCTCTGCCTGTCGACACGAGAAACGGACCAACCCTTGTCCAGAACCGCCCATAGAAGAGGTTCTCGTTCTCTCTCCCTCTCTCTGCCCCCCCCCGTCTCGTGCGCGCATATCGACTTGATTACATCATCATGCGTAGCGCTCACGATACTGGGCGCCGAAAAAGAAGGAAATGGCGGCCGGCCATCCTCGGGCCGTAGCCTCACCCTCGTATCCCAAACGGCTATACTATACTTCTAGAAAAACATCCCTCCCCCTCAAGCGTTGCCGTTGCACGGATGGATCAAGTGTGTGAGTGTTGGACAGCGGGGGGGATTACAATCCAAAAAGGCTTTGGCCCAGCCCACGTAGCGGAGCTGGACACACCGCTACTAGAGCAGGGGCTCCAAAAAAAAAGAAAAAAGAAGCCGGCGTGAGAGATCGAAGGTGGGCCGAGCACCCAAGAGCGATTGGGCCCGTCGTTAACGACAAAAAAAAAATCATCGAAACCAGCGACTACCTTATACGAACACAACACCCATGAAACCGCGGAAAAGGCTAACCAAGAATTGAGTGCCTTCGGTCGTAAACACCTTACCAGCCCCCCCCCTCCCCCCCACCCCCAACCCAAA